TATCCGAAGCGATTTGCACTCACCTCGGAGAGTGTAGGTTGGAAAATAGGATCATTGTGTCTTCCCTTCAGGTCGAGCTGTCGTATCCGTACTCACCTTCAGATATTTGTGCCAACTCTGCCGTTGAAACCGTTAGACGGTGGCTGTGTCCCCTAGCAGGTGGCTTCCCGTGGCACCTGGATTCGAAAGTAGACGTTTCCTTCCCGTCCTAGCAAGTTAAAGTTCCAGGGTTGTTTGGACCGCAGGTGTCACCTTAGTTGGCTGCGGACAGAACTCACCGTGTCATAATACTGCTATCACGCCGACCTGTTCGTAGGTAAATGATTTTATGCGTAACCGAGCCTGAAAGTGGGACCGCTACATCCTCCTCAATTGTGTGCCTTCGGAGCCAGTCCAATGTCCGCCACCTGCTGAGCATGCAGACAGCGTGCAGCTAGCGTGTCGGGTAGGCTCCCTTCGTCATATGACTTAAAGGTGATGGTGCGAACAGGGAGGGAGGGCGGGGTCGTTTTGAATTTATACAGACCTCGCTGACGCCGTCAGGCTTAATCCTCCACATATGACAATCGTCCGGACGTTCTCGAGGCCGCTGTATGCACTCACTCGTGCGCTAACCTCTTATAACTTTCAGACGGGGTCGAAGCGTCCAATTTATCCCAAAAACACAAACTTCCTTGCAGGTATAAAACGTAATTGTCGTCTTCCTTAAATGGTGAAGTGTCGACTTATCTCCTCTCATTCCTTAAAGCTTCCATCGACGCTGTATTAGAGGAATACTCCGAGCATGCTCGCATGTAAAACATATTTGTCTTCTCCATCTCCAGTTATGAATCGCGTAGCACAGTGAGCAATATTTTACCTAGTTTGATGTCTATTTGAGAGCAAGTGAACTAACAATTTCCCATGAGGACTGGGTAGTCCGAAAATGCAGCATCTTTGACCTTCTAGCCGATTATTTTTATACCTAAATGTCATAACGCCAGCTGGATAAGAAATAATGGCCCAAACGGCAGACACAGTCAATGGCATACATTTATGCCTTTCCATCCTACTGACTACGCCGGTGACTATAAGCTGACTCTGCAAGGAAGGAAGCGAAACACCCTTCTCTCTAGTGGTGGGCAGATATTGTTGCCGGCAAAAAAGGAGACTGGAATGGCTATTTCTGGCATATTAGCCGTCTTCAGCCATTCATACCCAGACCCAAGTGCTCTCACACCCGAGCCTCGAACTTGCAGCCTTTTTATCAGAGTCAAACGCCCTAATCAGTGGGCCACGAGCTCGCGCCGCCGGTTTAGGTCAAGGGGTATTGACGGATAGTAGGCAGATAGTATTGCCGGCAAAGACAAAGGAGACTGGAATGGTCGGTAATATAAGCTGTTACGACTGTCAGAGCCTCCGTCGAAGCCCGAGGCAGAGCGGGACAGATGAGTTCCTTTAGCAGTCAGGTGAACGTTTATCAACGACTAATTTCCTTCCCTCTCTCGTGTCGATCTGGATCCCATAAGCTGCAGTCTATTATATATGCGAGCCTTAACGCTTTTCCTCCTCCTCCTTCCTATCTGTCCTGACAAAAATAGGTTCAACCGCACTACTTCAGTG